AAACTGCAGACATGTTTTGATTGTGTTCTTTCTTGGAGTCTGACTTGCATCTTTTCTGTTTCAAGGATGGTGCCGTTGACATTGAAGGGCTCAAATGTGAAATCCTTTGCAAGGCTCTCCAGAGAGACGAGTAAGATTTTTCAAAACATATTTGTCCTTTTATGCCCTCGTGCACAATAGTCTTCAGTTTTGTTCCCATTTTCAGTGGGAATAGCAGTGGGAATTAAAGATGAAGACAATGCAGAAATGACTTTTTTCTAGTCAGGAGAGATTTAAATGTTATAAGACTTAAGGGCAAACATGGTCAAATTTAAGAGCTTGCAGATTACACTGATCTTTGCCTTTGGTAACTAAAAAAACAATATTGTAGTTTACTTCAGGCTGAGTGAGGGCATAGCTGCTTCTTGTTCTTCTTAAAAGCACACATGTGTGACTATCTTATTATTTAGCCAGGCAGGCCGCCTCCTTGCATCTGTTAGCTTTCTTTCCAGGCGAAAGATTGACTCAGGGTATTTTGGATGCCACAAGTTCAGTCTCGAATTCCGAGTTAGGGAGAGAGGTGTGGGGACAGGTCAGGGACAAAACCAGACTCGCAACATCCTGACTGTAGCCCTGTGCCCTCCAGCTGGTCCTCTGTGGATGGGAGCGACGACCCAGTCGAAGCAGCAAAGGACAGCATCTTTGTCAAGATCTTGCAGAAGCTCATTAAAGAGGGTAAGCGCACGCGCCATTGAAGCCTGCTGCGGTCAGCCCTGTTGTTCCACAGTTCCGGTAGCAAAAAGCAAATAACGACAACATAGATGCAAAGTGGTAAAGGTATACTTTAAAACGAAATGGCTTGAGGGACCAACTGACAATACATTCTGCAAGCCCTACACAAACTCGTGCAGAATACAGAGCTCGAGGAAACTTAAAAAGAGGGCTTGTAGTAACTCTTGATACAAAAATACATATAGGAATTCAGATCCTTTACATCTAAGTGCGTCGTGGTAGAGGAAGAGGTTTAATATTAAGAGCACATAGGTATTGCAGTAGGTCCTCATGTATAGAAAGTTGGTAAAGATCTCCCAATGGTAGACTTCTACCTTCAGGCTGGAGGGTTGCGATGAAGTGACTGGCAGATTCACCGTTCTCTTTCGAAGACTCCGTGAAGCTGCTCCTGACGTGATCTCATTTTTATTAAAGTCCGCTTTTGCGGTTTCTCCCAGCTTTTCCGTTCGCCGACCTTTTCACTTCACGCGATCGCCGAGGCCTTTCCCTCCTCGTGTGAGCGATGAGTTATCTGCGTGTCCGTGACGTGTGTCGGCGGTCTTGCTCTCTTCCAGGGGTTTGTCTGCAGACTTACTTGCCTGACGTCGATGCCCTGCTTCAGTCAGAAGAGCTGGAGAGACTGCGGTCCAAGACCTACTTTGAGTTTGCTCTGCGGGCCAACTATGAACACTATCTGCAAGCCCAGACATGAGCTGACCGAGCGCCTCTCCCAACTGTGACTCCACTCAGCTCGTGGCCTCCCGGGCCCTTCGTTTTTAGTCTTCTAAAAACTAATTTCCCATTTTGTAATAAACTTTGCCGAATTTCTGTTCTCTCCCCTGTTCTTCGTCGTCATCCGAAAGTCCTAGCACAAAGCTTAATGGAGTTGAAGCAAGGGCAGAGTTTGTTTATATGTTTATTATTAAAAGATTTTCAATTTTCTGTATAAAGCAACTGTTTATAGTTTACAGTTACAATGAATAGTAATGGAGACTTACTAAAATATTGTTACACATGTCTGTGTAGTATCTGCTGTTGTTGAAAGATTGAGTGCAAAGTGCAAAATCTTTTATTACCTTAATGAGCCTGAAAAATGGTCAGCTACCCTCTTGATATAATGAGATCGTTTATAACTGTCATTAATTTCCACTGTGCTTAGTTTCTTATGCCTTAATGGCATAATGAAATATTTAGAGAAAAGGCTTCTGTTTCTTAAAAGTCCATGCCTTGTAAAAAATGGCTTTGCAACTATCAGAATGAGCATACACCCCTTCTACACAGGAGTGAATGCTGCTGGAATATAGTGCTGTAGGAAAAACCTGACTGTACAGGCACCGATTTCCATTGATCCTGAAGAGCTTCATGGATCAATAAGCACCTCGGGAAGCTGCTTGGAAGAAATCATGCAGAGCTCTGTCTAACCTCTGAGCTGTTAGGCAAGGCAAGCCAAGCCACCAGCTTCATGTGGCAGGAGCTGAGCCGAAAGCAGCAATGCTCCAAACAGATGTCGCCGTGTCTTCAAGTTGCTAAAATAGGAAAGGAGAGTTAAATCAGGGACATCTGCAATAAATTAAATGCTGAATGTGACAGATTTCCCCGTCGCTCAATATGGAAGTTCTGTGCAGAATTGTAATGTTGTATAGCTTCATGGTCGTTGGCAAATAATTTTACTTCTGCTTCCTTAAAGGCTCTTAATCATTCCAAGTAGCGTTTTCCATGTAATCACTTGACAAAAAGTGTGTAATGCAAGGAGTCCAAAGTGTTTCTTTTTCAAATAAAAATACTTTTATGTAACCTAATGCTTAAACTAATCTAAATTTAAAAGTATTACAGTGATGCATGTATGGTGCTTTTCAGACTTCTCTGCCTCCCTTGGAACACAGGCTCTTTCCAGACTCACTTTCAGGGGTTGTCAGATTTAGAAATCTGTCCCTCAGATAGTTAGGTTGAAAAACAGCAATAAAATATTTTGTGACTCATTGATATGCAGAAGTGTGTAAAATGAACTTTGGGGGCAGATCGAGGCCGGGAGCTGTGTCCAGTCTCTGTCCAGCTTTGCTGTCCTGCACTTTGCTTCCCGGATACATGGTCAGCAGAGGATCAATCCTCTACTGGAACAAGTAAAGGTTTTTTCCAAGCTGAAAAGAGAAGGAAAACACAGTGTTTCGGCTGGGGAGCCTTCTTCAGGTGTCAATTCAGTTGTCAACCTGAAGATGGCTCCACAGCTAAAACACTGTGCTTCTTTCCTTCTCTTTTCAGCCTCGAAGAAACATTTACTTGTTCCTATGCAGCCTAGGAAAGCTGACGCAGCTCCCTTCTTGAACTTCTTCAGTCCTCTATTGATCGCTTTACTCGGGTTGCTTGACATCTGGTCTCCTAACTCAGTGCCATGAAGACGCTGGTCCACTTTACAACCAAGAACAACCGATGGCCCCCAGCTGGTCAGGCAACGCATACGGCTGGAAAGCCTGAAGGAAGTAATCAGCCCTTTATTTCTCTAGAGATTGCCTAAGTACTAATGAAGTATTAATCCTGTCAAATTAAAACCAATTTCAAAACCAATATCGAATTATCTATTCGTTTCACTTAATGAATTGGGTTAATAAAGTCATGATCTAAGACGGGTTGCCGTCAGTCACTGTGCGGAGAGTTGGTTTGTGAACAGTTGATGTCTTACCATGCAACATTCATCTGACGAAAAAATGTAACCCCCCCCCCATCATGTTTAATAATACCTTCAGCGTTGGGGTAGCCAGTCCGCCCTTACGAGCGGACACCGCTGTCGAAGCTGCAGCGCCAGCTTGTTGTTGACCTACAAAACCTGCAACATTGCACGAGTGTCGGAAAACTGGATCCTTTCGCTTTAACGCAGCGGTGTGCAGACGGCTCTGAGGGGCGCGAAGCTGGGGGGAGCGAGTTGGGGTTTCTCTGGTTATTCCTACAGCTGCTCGCACACGTCTGCGGTTAGAGCCATGTGTGGCGCCCGCACCTTGTCCCAGCGACAGCCACCCACGCTCGCCTCTGCGTGGACCTGCTCAGCTATGGCAAACTCGGAAGTGCCCGGTCCACTGGACCCCCCCAGTCTGTTTGAGGCGCTCCGCCCCTTTCAATCCCGCAGGATAGTGTACTGCTACTCGGAAATAAACGCGTAAAAAAAGTATTTTATTACTATAAATTAAAGTCGCTAATCACCCACCGCGTACATGTGTACAAATCACCTCAAAACATCAACAACAAAACCAAACTGTCATAAAATATGATATATTCATGTTTGGGATACCCAGAGGTAGTGTTCAGACCTGGTTCTGTTTCGGCTTAATGAAAAGGATGGGCAATAGTGACGGTACTGGTTTTTACAGCGTAAAAGGCGCTATACAAGCTATTTGTGCCAGCGGTTACCTTCATTTAAATCGCTGAGTCAAGTAAATATTGATCAGGTTTTATGTTCACGAAGTATCTTGCTTGTGTCGCATAATATGAATTCAAAGCCAAATTATATTAGATTAATGACATTATTGCTATACATTTTAAACAAATAACGGACAATATCGTCCGTTAGTTTGCGTCGCCAATTACTCCGAAATTCTAAATTGATCCGTACAACCGCAGTTTATCAGCCGTATGTTTACTCGCAACCCGTTAATTACAGTAGAGCTGCAGGTTTCAACGGTGTCGTTTTTTGTCCGAAACTCTTCGATTTCGGACCTCAGAAGTCCCGTGGCGCTTTCCTGGGCACCAGTTCCCTGCGTTTCCACTCCCTGCCCTGCTCTCCTACAGAGCGACAGCTACCACTGGATTCAGATCTCAGCTCCGTACCCCCGGAGTAAAACAAAAAAAAAATCCAGTTCCAGATCCATAAATGCACGTTCCTACTTTATCTCTGTAACCCGCTGTCGTCGCTTAAGGGATAAGAAGTGATATCAAAAGTGTTGGCTAAACAAGTCAATTCATTCGCCGTCCTTTCATTCATCCAAACGCTCATTCATTCATTACAACCTCCCTTTTTGTCCCTGCAGCTGAAATAGTGACTTTTTTTGGAAGTTAAAGGGAGAAAACAGGTGTAGAGCCCCCTCGCAGCGTGAACTTGCTTCGTACTCCACTGATATTGTAAGAACTGAGTGTGTGTTGGGGGGGGGGGGCGATACATACAGTTGCTGCCGTGTTAGATGGGCCGAGGAGGAGGAAGACAGGGACGAATCTCCTGCTCTCCATATACGGACCGAGCTCTGCGGCTTGGATTCGGAACGAGCGCGCCTTATATGGACAGCCCTGCGCGCCTCGAACCGGGACTCGGCGCAACCTGCCCGCGGAGCGCCCTGCGCTCGCCCTCCGAGAGCCAAATATGGAGAAAGCCCGGAAAAAAATTCCAGTGGAATACATAGACATTCTGAATGCTCGGAGGGGGGAAAAAAAAAGAGGCAAGGGGCGAGTATAAAAGGTTCCCGGAGTGAGCGGGGCATCGTAGCTGGAACCAGCAGCGGTGATCTACTGCACTCTGAGCTTCTCCTTAGAAAGGCACCACCGAAGGTAAGGTCGAGGGAGAGGGAAGCCGCGGTCTTGCGCTCGGCTCTGGACTTCACATGCGCGCACATTCAAGGACTGGATTGTTTTTTTTGGGGGGGAAAGGGACTCCTGTTGGTTCACGAAAGCCGAACGAAGAAGGGGCAGGTTGCGGCGATAGCGCACGGCGGCAGACCCGACGGAAGGGCTCGAATGTGAAGGAGGAGGATGAAGAAGCGGATAGTGGTTTTCCGCCACCCCGAAATTCAGAGAATCTGACAAGTCCCCGGCGAGGAGATTCACGCCTCTTCACTTTAAAACAATAAGGAGGACACGGGCTGTTAGAAAGGCCTTACACGTGTGAGCATGGTGTCCCAAAACGGAAACAATGGAATGGTTTAATGGTTTCAGAATTTAAAAAGAAAGATTAATGACTACAAATGGATAGCAACATCAAACCATTCTACAGGATTATTATTATTGGTAGCAGTAGTAGCAGTAGCAGTAGTATTAAGGTAATAAAAGCAACAGATGAAACTAATTTGGTGCGCTTTCCCTGCCTCTGAAGAGAGACAGTAGTACTGGTAAAAAAAAAAACAATGAAGAAAAACTAAAAATAAGAAGGGCGCTTTTTTTCTAGTTCTGCAACGAATCTCCTTGCAGTCTTCCTTGGAGAGTCCTGCTTCGAGTCAGCGCGCAGCTCATTCAGGAAGCATCGGCTGCCTTCGCAATAAGCGTCTCTTCTCACTTTCTGCTCCGAAGATGACATTTGCTGCTGTGCACGAATTTATTTAGACAATACTCAGGGACAGACGCCTTTAAAATGAGATATTTAAACGAAAATAAATATTTTTTCGGAAACAGCCCTGTGTTGTTTAAGGTAATGGGCGAGGGAGGAGAGGACAGAGTTGTTAACAGCGCGCATTCCAGTTTAGCCTCTTTATAGTTCGTGTAGCTACTGGATTTTAAAACCTTTTGACTTCAAGTTGAATTAATAGGCACAGTTGGGCACGAAACATTTTGAACCTGTTCAGGTCGGAAAAGCTCTGAGTGTTTGAGTAACGTTTCAAATTGACAAGAGACAATTCCTGGCGGGTCGACAGCTCCTTTAACAGGGGGGCAACTTTTGCGACCTGTTTTGCTAAATTACGGTCAATCCCCATTCAAGACGTCTGTTTCCTTATCAGGTATTTAGCGCGTCATTCTCGGAACCATTTAAGCTCTCAAAGAATACGAGTGAAAAGGGTGGTAATACAGCGAAGCCAACCTGACCGTGGGGCCAATTTAGACCGAGGCTGCGTCGATCTGATTATTGCGTTCAGGGGTACCAGACCTCCGGGACCGGATCTCCGTGACTGTGGGCGGCGCTGCCGCTGTGGATCAGTCACCACGGTTTCTGTGCTTGCTTTCAGAACCCGCCAAGATGTGCGATGATGAAGAGACTACCGCCTTGGTGTGCGACAACGGTTCGGGACTGGTGAAGGCTGGCTTCGCCGGCGATGACGCTCCCAGAGCCGTCTTCCCCTCCATTGTCGGTCGCCCTCGTCACCAGGTATGATCCTGATCCTCAGTTACAGCCGCTCTTCACCGCGGAGGGGTCGAAGAACAGGGATTACTCTTGTAAAGCGTTCACGCCTATCACAGCATAGTCAACAGTGGGCGTAAGACACATCGAAACGTTAGTAAGAGCATTTCATGCTTGCCTTCACCTGATGCGGTGGGCGTCGGCTGAAAATGCATTCTTCTTCTGAGATGTCTGATCGCCAGCTACAGCGATCCCTGGCGTTACCTGCACAGGCTTAGCACCGTAGACCTGCAGTTCTGCCGAACACAAACCCCGGAGTGGTCTCTGAACGTCTCTGAACGTGTCTTCCCCCAGGGTGTGATGGTGGGTATGGGTCAGAAGGACTCCTACGTAGGGGATGAAGCTCAGAGCAAGAGGGGTATCCTGACCCTGAAGTACCCCATTGAGCACGGCATCATCACCAACTGGGACGACATGGAGAAGATCTGGCACCACACCTTCTACAACGAGCTGCGCGTGGCCCCCGAGGAGCACCCCACCCTGCTCACAGAGGCCCCCCTGAACCCCAAGGCCAACCGCGAGAAGATGACCCAGATCATGTTCGAGACCTTCAACGTGCCCGCCATGTATGTGGCCATCCAGGCCGTCCTGTCCCTGTATGCCTCCGGCCGTACCACCGGTGAGCCCGCTCATCCTTAACACCCTCTTTCCGCTCGGCATACAGGCTGAAGTCGTACAGAGTTACAGCATCTTGCGCTCTAATAATCAGCTGTTACACCTAGCAGGATGCTCTTTAAACACATAGGTGTCTAAAATAAGTTAGGTGGGTAACTGCGTCAGCCTGCAAAGGAACAAGAATTGCACGCTGAAAAAAAGAAAGAAAAGAGACACGGCGTTTCGGCTGTGGAGCCTTCTTCAGGTGTGAAGATGTTCCATCGCCGAAAACTCGTGCGTCTTTTCTTTTAAGCACGGGATATACCCTTACTTGTTGCTTAAAATACGTTAGTCCTAACAAAAAGAATAAGGTATCTGAGATATCGACTGTAGCTGAGATGCCTCCGTCGCCTTTGCCCCGCCGTGTTTCAGCGGTGTCGGTCGAGTGAATGCCGGCCTTGCTCGCCCGCAGGTATCGTGCTGGACTCCGGTGACGGTGTTACCCACAACGTCCCCATCTATGAGGGTTACGCCCTGCCCCACGCCATCATGCGTCTGGACCTGGCCGGTCGCGATCTGACTGACTACCTCATGAAGATCCTGACCGAGCGCGGCTACTCCTTCGTCACAACCGGTGAGACTTCGTTGTGTGAAAGGGGGAGGGGGGGGGTATTTTTTGTGCCATGCATTTCCCGAGACGCAATTACAAATGCATATATATATAACCTTAAATGCTAATTCAATCAGATTAAAAATAACTCCAAAGTTTAAACTTCGCTAGTGATACTATTTAAAAATACTGCATATTCATTAAAAAGCAGTCTATATAGATTTAGCAAATGCAGTTGCATGTATATGTTGGAGGTCCATTAGACAGTTTTATGGGTTTAATACCTATTATATTTACAAATAATGCCATTTTAGCTGTGACAAAGGACTGGACTTTACAGAAAGAACTCTTGTTGCCGAATACTTCATCCTACCGCCACGCTATTTGGTAACTGGTTGGTGTTTTGAGCGGCTCGTTGTGTAGCGTGTCTGGACTTGGCGCAGTTTGGCCTGACTGTCGGAACTCGTCTGTTTGCAGCTGAGCGCGAGATCGTGCGCGACATCAAGGAGAAGCTGTGCTACGTGGCTCTGGACTTCGAGAACGAGATGGCCACCGCCGCCTCCTCTTCCTCCCTGGAGAAGAGCTACGAGCTGCCCGACGGCCAGGTCATCACCATCGGCAACGAGCGTTTCCGCTGCCCCGAGACCCTCTTCCAGCCTTCCTTCATCGGTACGTGCGGAGCCCAGACAGCCGGGCGGGGCGCTTTTTGAATCGCCCGTGCGCCAGGCGACGCGCGGTGATGGTAACGCACTCCCTTCTGTGTTCGTGGACAGGCATGGAGTCCGCAGGTATCCACGAGACCGCCTACAACAGCATCATGAAGTGCGACATCGACATCAGGAAGGACCTGTACGCCAACAACGTGCTGTCTGGTGGTACCACCATGTACCCTGGTATTGCTGACCGTATGCAGAAGGAGATTACTGCTCTGGCTCCTAGCACAATGAAAATCAAGGTAACCCAATATTGCTAATTTTATCAACTAGAATAATCCATGTGCTGATTCCCGAAGTTGCAATTGGAAGCGTTTAAGGAATTGAATAAGATGGAGCTTGGATGAAGGACTTCATATCAAAACAAATGAATAGATAATCTTAGCACTGCTTATAGGGAAGGGCAGAACTTCGAAATAGATTAGCGCAGTTAAAAACAATAAAACGGCAAGTTTAAAAATTGCGCAGGGATGGTGGGATCATGTGTTTTTGACCTCAGCGACTTACGGCGAGTCCTGTTCTCTCTCTCTCTCCCCCGCTAGATCATTGCCCCACCTGAGCGTAAGTACTCTGTCTGGATCGGTGGCTCCATCCTGGCTTCCCTGTCCACCTTCCAGCAGATGTGGATCAGCAAACAGGAGTACGATGAAGCCGGCCCCTCCATCGTCCACCGCAAATGCTTCTAAAAGCATTTCCATCTCCTGCGTCCGCTACATGCTCAGGATCACTTTGTAGCAGAACGCATAGCTGTCGTGGGACGGCTGTGCACCAATGTAATTTTGTAACAATTTGTTACTTAGGGCGAAATGCTGCAAAACCGAAAACAACAAGACTAACAACGAAATGCCATGTTATTCAACATGTGAATGTAAAATGTACATAAATATTAATTTATTAAAGTCCATCGTTTGGTATTTTTGTGCACACTGCCTGTTGAAAGGACTCGAAGGCTAATACCCGTTCTGGCTCTCCAGGGAAACGTGTCACCCCTGCAGTGTTGTAAGAAAAGCCCACATGAGACAAACAGAGGCAAACAGGAGGAAAACTAAGGAAATAAATTTTTTAACATCTATGAGCATGACTGTCAGTACTTATTTGAACATATATCATTACTACGTTTCGGAAAAATGGTAGCACACAGAATGTCTGGAATCCAAGGTGTTCGCTCAAATTGATTAATAATTGGTCGTTTTTAATATTCCCACAAGGAAACAGCTGAAAAGGATGAAGGAATCCTGAAGGATGAAGGATGAATGGCAGAGCAGATTTAGGGCTGATTGTGAAATTAAACATTCCTGGTATCATTAACCCAAATACTAAAGCCCATGATTCTTCAACCACTTATAGGTATAATTCAATTAATTTAATATGGATTTTCATTATACCAATTTGGTTTTTAAAAGAAGTGTCTTTTTTCCACATTTAATCTTGTACATTTTCAGCTCAGTACTGTACCTGCACTGTACCAGGCACAGGTAATGCTCAGAATCCGTCAGAAGGTCTGACCCTACTTAAGATGATTGTCCACAATAGACAGCTGACGCCCCAGTGTCATCTCCTGGTCCAGCCTGTGGGGCTGCACTGCTGTGGTAGATGAAGTCAGGCCCCCGCCGTGTGTAGAACGCTTAGAGATTTTTGGGGGCTGAAGAGCGCAATATAATTGCAAGTTTTTAACGTCACGATGAATGTACACGTAAAGTGAGTTATCGCAGAACCACTTTATTTTCATTTTCTCCGAGAACACTCTCACATTTCAGAGGCACGTATAGTCATTCATTATAGAACTTTGTTGCAGTGCATGACGAATAAAGGCTGCCTTCTGTTTGAACTAATATGCAGTGACCACTCAGCAATACAACATAAATCCAACAGCATAAAAACCGAAAGGGGAAAGCCATGAATCAAGTTAATTCAATTCTGCTGCCACCATACAAGTACATCACCACGACTATTTAAATGCCTATATTGCAGGTCATAATTGCATTAATTCAATGTACACTGACACTAATACAGCCAGAAGACTAAAACACAACAGGCAATATGTCAAACAGGAATGTGAAAACCTTTTCTCACTAATCTGCACACCTAGCGTTCGACAAATATCTATGCAAATTACTGCACCGTTCATTTTTAAAAACTTTTTCCAGGCGCTGGTTAGGAACACGTCTGTCCCCGCCAGACCTCCGTGAGGCATGCTGTCTTCATTACAGAACACGCCAATTTTAGACCTGCTGCCAACATGATATGAGACCGCATTCCCGCAACCAGGCAGAGTTCCATGTCACAGCAGTCATCCCTATCTTCAACCTTAAACATGCACCTTGCTCCCCAGCTATATTTAAACCCAATCGGCCTCTGGTATGCCGAGCTCCTGAGCCCCCGTGACGTGTGAAAGCCGCACAGCTGGCAAGAGTGGATTTGAAGGTCTTCCCACCAGCACCTTGCCTGACGCAGGTCACTGGGAGCATTGCAAAGCAAAGCGGGTGAGATAAACGAAGACCGCCCCAGACTTCATAACAGATTGCAATTAGTCCCAGACTAATGTTGTTAACATACATATGTGATGATGCTTGTCTGAATTCCGTCCCATTTAAATTTGTACTGTATATGTTGTACGTATGTCTCGTTCGTGTTCTTTGCTGTACCGAAAGCAAATTCCACCACCTATTGTTGTGTGGCAATAAAGATATCTACAGATATCTACTACAGCTGTAGACACCGTGGCTGCAGACCTATTACAGGCTGAGCATCTCTAGTTCAGAATATGGACTCATCCCCACCACCTCCACCACTTCATGCATCCAAACCTGGCATTTCCTGGACCTCTGCTGAGACATTGGCAGGAATTGTTATGAGCCACGTTTCCTTTTTACTGACAGTCGTCATGAGAAACTGTGCCAAAACTCTGTGATCTCACTATGGGCTCAAGGGGACACTCCGCCGAATGGGACTCATGGCCGTTTTTCTTAAGGTGCTTTATTTGGCGGAGTGGAGTAATTGCTGTGCTCGTAGGCACAGTAACAAACAATGTAGATCAGTAAAACCTGAGTGCCTTACCTGTTCAGAAATTACAGTTTTGAGGTGCACTGCCCTCCCATTGTGACCCAAACCTGCTTCCAGAAATATCTCTAAGTGGAATGTGTACAGGGCACTGCTCACCTGGTAGACACATTAGAAATATTAACATAATGTTGGAATACCACCTGTTCAGGTTAATGGTCTGTGTGCTCCAGCTACAGTCGCATATGGAAAATAAAAGATCTCACTGCTCTGTAATCGGTCCAGAGAAATGCAATCAGATGCAATCGGATTAGGAATGTCCTAGCAGGACATTCTAAGGAACTGAATCTTTTTAGTCTTGAACAGAGCATTGCAACGGCACCAATTCAAGTATTCCTTGAATTCCTTCAATTCCTCAAAGGCACTAAGTCAACAAAATGTATTTTTTTAATCATAAGTGAACCACACAGCAGAGAACACACGTCATGTCTCTACCCGAAGAGTTGTGGGAGTCTGGAACAGGTTCCCCAACCATGTTGTGGAAACTGACACCCTCACTTCTTTCAGAAACCGGATAAGGTCCTCGGCTCACTTAACTACTATCAAAGGACCTAGATGGAGATGATCTCGTTTGTACACCTTTCTCGTGTACAGTAACAAACTTCAGTGTGAAAGTCCTGAGTTTGCTACATTCCTGTTTCACGAACCACGTACCTAGTCTTTCAGGTGAGCTTAATGTTGATACACATCGCGATATAATGCAACTGTTGTAGCTGCGCAGCATTTTTATATCACTTCTCCAGGTAGAATGAAGCGATTGTGACGTTGCGGCTGCAGCATCAGCTCCACCGCCGAGTTTAAAGCCCTGGGCGGGGTCACAGGGACTGAGGTGCCTCGCGTCACGCCGCCATCTGCTCCGAATGTTTTCGTTCCGCGTGCGCTGCGATCATGTAAGTAGAGCTTAGCCTCCTGTTTTATTTTGAGTTAAGAAACAGACACGTGCGACAGTGAAACGTTGATATTTAGAGATGAGATGTTTTTTTTTGTAATAAATGGGGTCATGACTGCAAACACGTTATGTCAAACCGTTTGTTTGCTGGTTAATGGAGGCCTCCGTAATGCAGAATAAATCACGGTTTCGCTGCTTGTCTTGGGGATTGCTTTGCAATACAGCACGTTTTAAACGCTTCTTTGCTGGTGTGCGCGTCCTATTGCATAACAGCTAAATAATGTATAAGTTTCAGCTCGTATTCGTCATTGTCCGAGGCTCATTGGTGTATTTGAAAAAAGAATGAAACAAGCGGTTTAAATTGTCGTGCATTTTACCCTTTAGGTTAAATATGCAGTTATTAGTTGTTCTAGTATTTCCCACACCCCTGCCCGGTTCACACTTCTACGTGATAAAACGGCTTTGCTACGCCGTATTCTCTGCCGGCGCCATGACGGCGGTGGGCGGAGAGGAGGAGTAGAAATTGTCAACAGCGCTTCAGCGCGCTGCTGCGTAGCGATTGGTCTCTGCGAGGAAGGAGGTGATGCCTCGTCTTTTGTGTTTTGGTTTAAATGTCTGGCGGGGTGCGGAGCGCCACAGTGGCACAGCCCGAAATCCAACGCCTGCTTGGCGACCAAGACTCGCTGCGGCTTGGGTTTGCGCTGTTGCTTAGTTATACTGGAGGAGTATTGGCGATGCTTTTTGTCGGCGCTCTTTCAGATCTCGGGCACCTACGAGGGGGACAAGTGACACTGGGAAAGGAAAACGAAGGAACATGGTAGCAAAGAAGATCAGAACGGAGTACATGAAAAAATTTAAGGACCCCAAATGGGAGACGTACAGCAAGTGTTACGAGGATATGCTGCAGTACAGGCTGACCCGGCGGCTGCTGGAGCACACGCACAACCCTTGGTTTTGGGAAGGGTGGGACAGTGGCTCGGACTCGAGTGGCAGCTCCACTCCTCCGAATAGCAAGACGGGGGAAGCTCAGAAACCGAGCGAGGAGGCGCCGAAAGTGTCGGAGAAGGAACAGCCCGAGCCGCCCGTGCAGCCCGTGCAGCCCAAGAGCGCGTCTGCAGACCCCGCCGAGCCGAGGGTCTCTGCTGGGGCTCAGAGATCCGGAGCGCCGACAGAGCGCAGAGGCTCGCCAGCATCGCCGGCCACAGGTTTGTACTGTCCCGAGCAGCAGCGGCATCATACCTTTACGTTGTCGCTTCCTTTCCTTTCTCTCACTCATCTTAAAGAGCAAGCCGCAAGGTTAGTCTGATTCAGGGAGTTATTACGGAGATATATGCAAGGAAGCTGAACTATTTCTGCTTGCGGATGATGTCGGGTCGATGAAGTGCCTGGAGAAACAATTATACTGTAGTTTCCCTCTAGGACAAATGGCTTTATTTAGGTGCATTGGTAAAAATGCAAACCTGACCCGGAGTTAAGTGATATTGGAGGAATTAGGCAGTATTGCACTCATGTTTCTGAGGGAGGTTAAGAGTTAGGATCACCATTTGATAGTATGAACGTACAGATGCTCTCCCAGTTAAAGGCCTGACACAGGCCGGTGTGGTGGCTCTGGATCTGTGCCCGCGACTGGAAGGTTGCCGGTTCAAATCCTGCAGCCGTCGGAGGAATCCTACTCCGTTGGGCCCACTGAGCGAGACCCTAACCCCAGCTGCTCCAGGGGTGCCATATAACTGGCTGACCCTGCGCTCTGACCCCAGGCTTCTCTCCCTGGCTGTGTGTTTGTGCCTCGTGGAGAGCAAGCTGGGGTATGCGAAAAGATGAATTCCTAATGCAAGAAATTGTACAGGGCTAATAAAGCAACATTATCATTATCATTATTATAAATGACCAGGCCGGAGGCTGATATCTGGATCATGAGCATAATCTGGGGTCTGTTTTCTGATGCGGTCGAGCTGGTCCTGGTGTTTCAGGGCTTGTGCAGCAGCACGCCTCTGTAGAGCTGGAGTGAGCCAGCGCAGCTGCACGGAAAGGAAACGTTGTTGTCGCGACAGGCCAGGTTCCTGAGGGCGCGGGGCAGGAAGAAGAGGGCAAGGCTCCCGGAGGAGAACCGAAGAGCAAGGACCCGCCCCCCGCTGCCCCTGCGGAGCCAGACCACAGCAGCCGGCGGCCCACCGACCCCCGGGCGTCTGGCGGGCCGGCCCAGGGCAGGAGCCAGACACGGCAGCCTGCCGAGCCCGACAAGGAGAACCGGCACCCGTTCGCTCTGTACGGCTGGGCGGAGAGGCGCGCAGAGACCGGCCTCAAGAAGACCCACAACGTCCGGCCTTCTGCGTCCACTAAGGAGGTGGGTGTGAGGATGACTTTGTCTGAGGGTGAGATGAGGATAACCTTGAAGTGTCACATTAATTAATTCCTTGCACGTATATAGCACTTTTCTGGACACTCCACTCAAGGCGCTTTACAGGTAATGGGGACTCCCCTCCACACAGGTGGTGGACTCCCCTCCACCACCAGTGTGCAGCCCCACCTGGATGATGCAACGGCAGCCATAGTGCACCAGTACACTCCCCACACACCAGCACTCAGTGGGGAGGAGAGCAGAGTGATGAAGCCAGTTCAGAGCTGGGGATTATTAGGAGGCCGTGATTGGTAAGGGCCAATGGGAAATTTGGCCAGGACGCCGGGGTTACACCCCTACTCTTTTGAACTCGGTTTTATGTCTCATCCGAAGGACGGCCCCTTTTTTACAGTATAGTGTCACTATACTGGGCATTAGGACCCACATGGACCGCAGGGTGAGCGCCCCCTGCTGGCCCCACTAACACCTCTTCCAGCAGCAGCCTTAGTTTTTCCCAGGAGGTCTCCCATCCAGCTACTGACCAGGCTCACACCAGCTGAGCTTCAGTGGGCTGCCAGCTGTGAGTTGCAGAGTGACGTGGCTGCTGGCGGTAGTAAGAAACAATGGGAATAAACACCATTCTAGAGCTTAGTTCTAGTTGCTTATATCCCCGTGTCTGTGAAGTGGAACTGCTCCTGCAGCTGTGGCCAAGCACATGCGCGCAGGGGTCCTGCAGGACTCCGCAGTAAACCCCCCCCTGACGGACCCTCTCCTCTTCCCAGATCCACGCGTCCGCCCTGCGAGCCAAGACCAGGCGCGAGGTGGAGAAGAGGGTCAGGACTCTGGAGCGCCGGCGGGCGCGGTCCGCGGAGCTGGACCGGCTCCACAAAGCCAAGCAGCCCCCTGTGGACAACCCCTGGATGACCGAGTACATGAGGTGCTTCTCCGCTCGGTCCCGATAGAACAGACAGCTGGGGGGCACGGAGGAGCCTCAGTAGGCCTCAGGCTTTCTGACACGGGCTCCTGGCTGATGTCTGGGGGCCCGGCTGGTTTGTCCAGTGTTTTTCCAACTTGGTGCTTCGGGGAAAGTGTGTGATTGCTGTTGCTGTTCTAAGAAAATGTGGAGTTTTCACCCCCTAAGGTGATCACGGTTTAATAGGAGACTTATCAGTGTATTGGTTTTAAACCGCGTCTTAATGTTTACATTGTTTTGAAATGATAGATGTCTGTGTTTAATCTGATTTTGAATACGGAAGAGTTTCCTTGTAAATCGGGGCTGAACACAAGGAAATCTTTTTTTAAATTGTAAATTTAAAAACACTTTATTGCACTTTTTTTCTGGAGGTTGCATTTTGCTTTACTATTTTATACAGTGTATTGTAACAGCAGAACGGTATTTAAAGGACCGTTTGACTTGGTATTTTTTTCTATATTTTCATTAGGAATATCTGTTCAGGACTTTGCTCTGTCAGCTTGCATTAATTGCAATTGTTATGAAGTGTCTGATTCTAGAAAATGACCAACCTAATATTTTTATATAGGACATTCCTGATACACGTTTGTATCTTTTGGCAAAAATTTCTAGTGACATATTCTTTCCATCCCATTGGTAAAAGAGCAGTTTATTGAATACAAAACCTTGACTGGTACCGTACAGTACAAATTCTGAAGTTCTCTTACATTGCAATCAAAAAAAGAATATATACCTCTAGAATTAATTGATTTTAAATATTGTGTTATTGTGGATGAGGTTTAATTATGTATAATCTTAAGTGAATGTATTTGCAAAGAGGGCTGAAGTGAAATCTTATCTCTTACCATGGATTTGCTTGCACTTGTAGGCAGTGAAGGAGCTGAGTGGAGTAGAGACAATGGATGTGTTCAGTTTCACAGGAACATTTTCTGTTTTTTAGCTGTGTAGCTTTCTCAAGCCACACAAGTGTTCTCAGGTGTTTTCATTTAGCTGAGAGCTTTTTCACTAAATTAAAATAGAGTGGCCATACGTTATGACAGTATGAAGGTAAAGATACCTGAGTTCAGTTGGTTGTCGCTTACAGACTGTGGCACATGCTGTATGTTAGCTGAATTTGTCTTCTCTCTGGGTGTGGGCGTGCCAAACAGACTTCCAAAGTCAGTAGACTTGGCAACGAGGAGGGTTGGAGGTTACCTTTGTAGGCATCTCCCCAGACAAACTGACACACCTGACAGCTCTTTTATATAAGAGACAGAAAGCTCAGACATGAATGAAATAAATTGAGTGCTGGTGGTTCCTCTAGTGTCAAGATTTGTGAACTCGGGTGCATGCATAATTACATTCTGGCTGTTCTAAGTACTTGTATAAAACTGCACTAATATTTGTGTACACATAGGAGATTTATGTTCAGTATTTGTGAGCTTGTGTTTCTGGATCATGAATTTCTGGATATTGCACAGTGACTCAATCCCTGTGGTTGAAGTTATTAGATGGATAAAGAAGCTCACTGGGTGACCTATCAAAGTGTTAGACTAGATTTTCACTTTGAGGTCACCTTAATGTCTGGGAATGCTTTTTTGAACTTCTTTTCTGATTTTGTGTTGTGAAAATATGATCCATTGTAGTTTATGTTTGTGCTGCACTGTCATAATAATAATAATTGCTTACACTTATATAGCTCTTTTCTGGACACTCCACTCAAAGCGCTTTACAGGTAATGGGGATCCCCTCCACCACCACCAGTGTGCAGCCCCACCTGGATGATGCGACGGCACGCTCACCACACACCAGCTCTCAGTGGGGAGGAGAGCAGAGTAATGAAGCCAATTCATAGATGGGGATTATTAGGAGGCCATGATTGGTAAGGGCCAATGGGAAAGTGGTTACACCCCTACTCTTTTCGAGAAACGCCCTGGGATTTTTAATGACCACAGAGAGTCAGGATCTCGGTTTTACGTCTCATCCGAAGGATGGCGCCAGTTTACAGTACAGTGTCCCCGTCACTATACTGGGGCATTAGGACCCACATGGACCGCAGGGTGAGCGCCTCCTACTGGCCCCACTAACACCTCTTCCAGCAGCAACCTTCGCTTTCCCGGAGGTCTCCCATACAGGTACTGACCAGGCTCACACCTGCTGAGCTCCAGTGGGCTGCCAGTTGTGAGTTGCAGAGTGATATGCTGCTGGCTGGCTATATATCGTTTGTAGAAACCTAACTTTGTGCCACATAAAGGCTTGATTTAATAGATCAGAGGCACATTCAGTACTAATAAAAAGCAAACATCTGGGGCTTTCCATTGGTGTCAAAAATAGTTCTGTGGTACTTTGTCCAACACCACAAGTCTGCAGTATGGTGATCTGTATTGGGCTTGATTTTTACTGATCTGTAGAAAGTAGTACAGTGTTTTTTTACTATACACTTTTTTTTTGCAAAACTGTAACAGTAGTCCTGTGAAGGACTGCATAATACATTCTCGGTCTCAGCCAGAGGGAAATTTGATAACTGATTGTGGTTATTCTTAAATCACCGAACCGTCAAGTCCCGGCCAGCTCCTTCCACCTGATAACCCCTGTCTACACTACGAACCAAAACAAATTAAAGGCAGGGAAAGAGATGGGTCAGATGGTGTCTATGATAGACATAATCTGTTTTTAGTTTCAGCATGTGAATCCTTTACTGGCACCACAATTAAAAGTGTGATAACACAGTGGATTCATTTCCTCAGAGCTTCCAGTGCTAGCTTTGACTGCTGAATTGGATAAGTAGCAGGCTGTTTAATCACCCTCGCTCATTTCATTAACATTTTGTTGCAAGGAGTGTTTCATGGGGAAGAACGTGGAACACTTGCCTGTGTTTGGACTGTGCTTCAAGCACAGGCTCTGTTCGAGCCTGGGTGGGGTTACTAGTCAATCATAACCAGCTTTCTTACAGCCTGTGGGTCTGAGGTTAGGGCCAATCAGCCAGGACACTCTCAGCTCCTGGTGACATCAGCAAGGGCCCTGTCTGTCCTCCAGTCAGAGCTGTCTCCCCTGTGTGTCCCTGCAGAGGTTCTAGCATGTGAAAAGATGGGTGGCAGAGTGGGTCCAGGGGCTGTTGCTGTGAGCCATACTGTGAAAGGCAACACTGGTCATTCCAAACTGGGCCAATATAGAATTGAAAAAAGTAATGACCCAGTTAAAAAAAAAAGATGAATTTACAGTGTTTTAATCCCAGTTCCTTGCATTTACAAAGCTCTAGAGTGTGATTTCTATTACATTGTCTTTTTTTGCACAAAATGAGGATCACTGCACTGTTAAATTGTAATAATGATTGTTTAAAAACTTTACATTTTATAATAATTGTATTTGTACTTAAATTGAACACTAGTGTATATTTTTTGTGCAACTGTTTGTAGTTTTCACCTGTATGTATAATTTGGAATAAAGCTCTTTTTAATGTTTTTAATATTTGTTGTTTGAAATTGTTGAAAATGGTAGTACAGTATTCCACAAGGGGTTTGCATCAATCCAAGATTTTCAGATACTTGGTAGGTAACATATATGATATGAAGAAGTTCAAGCAGGCAGCAGCATCAGCATGCGTAGGCTGTGAAGGAACAGGTCAAGAGTCATTCCACACTGGAAAGAAGAGAGACCCAATGTTTCAGCTGTGAAGCGGTCACACCTGAAGAAAGCTTCATAGCTGAAACGTTGTCTCTTTTTTTTTCCTCACGTTCACCTGTTCATATATATGATATGTAAGATATGATACTGCAGTTTTAGCTATGTTCCTCACTGCGGAGTATTCACGCTACAGAGCTTTTAATCACTGCATGGAGTTGGTTACTGACAATTAGACAGGAGTGGGGGGTCTCTCGACTGAAGATACACATCGCATGTGATTGAATAATGACGCGCTGAAGCTGGTGAGCTAGTCCGGGTGTTATCAACCTTAAAAATTTGATCACAGAACTCTGAGGCATCAAATATATTAAATCCTGAATGGATTAGTTAATCATTATTTGATCATTAATGATTAGGTGGAGCAAAGACCTGCAGTGGAATGGAAGTACGATGTGTCAGTTTCCTATGCTAAGCCATCTTTCTTAGGGATTCCTGCACCTCGAAGGAAGAAAAAAAAAGTCGTTAAGTCACCATTTTACCCAGCAACTGAGAGCAAAACCAAAACTAGAATAGCATGATGTTGTGGGATGTACTGTATGGTGGTGCAACAGTTAGCATTGCTACCCTGCAGTGCTGTTTGTATGTTCTCCCTGTGATCGCCAGAGTTTCTTCCCATAGACAAAAGGCATTCTGGTAGGTTAACTGGCTTGTGGGAAACTTGGCCAGGGTGCGTGTGTGCGTGCGTGCATGCCCGGCGATGGACTGACAGCCTGGCCAGAGGGGATCCTACCTTGTGCACGTTGCTTGCCAGGACAGGCTCCTGCTCCCCTGCAACCCTAAATTTCAAATAGTGCTTTTTGGAAATCGACAGATGGAAGGACCTTCTGCGGCTTCGATCGCCTCTTCAGCGACGTGAGTGTTGTCGTAGGGCAGCAGGGAAGACGGAGCTCCTCAGATTGAACAGGGCTAATGAAGCTCTTCTGTCCAATTCTGAAAAATCTCTCCCCAGTATTTTCCACCCCTGGACAACTGCCCACTATCCAGTGACTGAATTAGCTGGCGTGACTGCCCACTGTGGAAAACCATTGTGCCCAGCACGTCGCAATACAAACATTCTATGGCAGGAATAGGTGTAGAACTCTCCCATTGACACTGTAAATGCATGTGGAAAGGGACTGCACCGCAGTTTCGGGATTCAGGTTAACTTACCTGACAGTGGTAAACTGTTCTCAGTACATGCCGGGCTTCTGGCTGGTTCCTCTTAGTAGGTTTCTGAACACCGTCAGCTGTATGTAACTTTATGTACAAATAACAAATAGAAAAGCACACTGTACAATTGTATTAGGGACCGCCTGAAATGCCCCGTGCACTCAGAAAAAAAGTCACATTTTCTCGAGCAGCGAGCGACTGCTGGCTAGAAGTCCGCTGGAAAAGAATTCAGGCCACAGCGCGATGGCCGCGGCCGTCTCCCGCGCTGGCTGCGTGTGTCCCCCTGGGCAATGACACCATCCCGGACGGCAGCTGGACCCGGAGCCGGCCTCCTCCCCCGGGGGCCGCGGATCACTCCGCTCAGTAGCGGGCAGGATTTTGGAAACCTGATCCTGAGCCGCCAGGTTCATCAGATTGGGGGGGGGACGGCAACAGAAGTCCTTGGCAACAGCCAGTTATTTTCCACTCCTGAAAAGTCTACTAATCTGCATTTGGAAATGCCTGTCGTTAATCAGACGATTTGACCTTGAAAGTGCAGAAAGGGAACCTCACAGCATCTCCTCCCCGCGCCAGCGACTCGGAGAGTGACATCACACACGTCACTCATTTTCCTCCCCCCCCCCCAACAAAAAGCTGCTGAACATCGTTTTCGATTTTTGGGAAATGAGTTGCTTTTGTTGTTTCAGTGCGCTGGGGGTAATGTCTTGAGGCTAAGATCGATTTTTTTTTTCCCTCTGGATTTTCGAGAGAACGAATGTCACCCCCTTTTGCAGGGCGTTCAACACAATGCAGCTTGTGATGAGCATCACGTACAGTACACAGGTCTCACCACAGCCACCCAGGGGTGTGAGACAAGAGACAATGAAAACCAAATGTTCACCTTGACTAAAAGAAAAGCAACAATCAACAATCTCAAAAATCAAAAGACCAAGCATTAACACCATCAGAGGAAGAAAACTCATCAGCGATTAGCGGTGTTAAGGAAATACAACCACATTGGTCAAGACAGCAACTCGGTTACATAATGCGTCTCTTAGTACACGTGAAGAAAGCCTTACTGTCCCTCCCTCGTTAAGTGCTATTAATACCCACAGGTCAAGCTCCCAGGGGAGAGTTATCTCTGCTCCAGCAGCTGTGCAATGTGTCAGTCCAAGAGTGGTGTCAGAGTGGGGCTGACGTCTCAGCAGGCAGGGACAGCGCAGCCAGACCGCCTGCAGCCCCCCGGAGAGAACAGCGTCTCCCCCGAGCCGCCGGTTTAAAACTGACAGGCGCTCATTGCCATGCCCATGTAACCAACACCACTCATCCTCCCGGACCCACACACAGGTCAGTTTTCAAGGTTACCATTCGCCTCCGGACAACGTCCTCCAGGGAAACCTCTGGACTGTACAAGGTCCTCTCTGCCACACTCATCATCCCCCTCCCCGGCAGTCAGACTTGTAGATCTAGGATGCACAGCTCTGCTCCTGAATCGCTGCGGCCTCTATGGGTTTAAGCTGATCAGCAGCAAAGTGGCTGAATACCATGTGAGGTGAAAAGTCTTCACCTTTGGACAAAACAAACAGGCCAAACAATATCTGCTGGAGGGTGGCTCTCATCTGACCGACTAGAGGTGCACCTACACTATAAGGTATGATCTCAACACGAGAAATAGACCTTGTTTCTGCGAGAGCAGGTATGACTGCTGCTATGTTACAGAGTAATACATCTCAACCAATGCAAGCCAGGTACTCTCTCAAGTGGGGGTTTTGGCTTCAGTCCATCAACACACATCAACTGAGGAAGCCACCAATAAGGGCTTTATAAATCACCCTTGAAATAAATGGAACCACTCATTTCTACAGGGAAAGCAATACTAAGGCCCTTAACATTATGAGGAACAAATCCTCACATATCAACAATGAGCATTTTGAAGGTACAGTAGTCAAGTCAGATTGCAGAAACTGGGTATGATTACCGTCTTGATTCCTTCAAATGTCCATTAATCCTTTGAGGGTCCTTGGACTGGATTGCCTTTTGCCTGGACTAAGGGAATTGTCTCCTTTAGAAATGTCCTGGGGCAATAACTGCTGTCCCTTATTTAAAAAAAAAAAGTTGGCATTCTTTGCCAATGTAAAATAAAATCATTTTGTTCTTATTACCTGGATTCCACAAAAAAAGTATCAGCAGCAGTAACCAGTAAACTACATTCAACACAGACAGGATTCTACTTACAAAGAAATGTCACAAAACCTAAGACTATCACAAAATCTGCTGCTAGATAAATGTGTACCATTTTAAACTTTCATCAATTATTAGAGGTAATAGCTCAAAGGCTACTTTCTCCTTGTGGGCAAACAGAAAATTATTTAATTGGGTAGTTTGCAAAACATTCTTAATTTCCAGAAATTCCCTTTCTAGTTGTTACTCTGCAGAAAACTAAAACAGCTTCAGAAACTACCAAAAATGGATTGTAATTTATTTGTATCCACCTGTTTTTAAAAATGCATTCAAAGGATCCCAGGCACTAATATTCTGGATAAGATATTCCTTAAGAATGAGGTAAAATCCTCCACAGATTCAGTCCCAGCTGCACTGATAAAAAAAAATCTTATAATCATTTATTTAAAAAAAAACTTGTTACGGACATAAATTAACAATGCATGAGTGACGTCATCATAAAAGAATCTAGTAGATACAACAGTCACAGAAATCAGCAGAAACGACAGGTCAATACAACAAGCCAATGTGACAGATCATGACTGATGAAAAGCTCATTTAGGAATCTGACAGTCGTTAATAGGATATGGTCAAACTGAGTCACTGGTGCCATAACCTAATGATTAATACTCTATAGCTCAGTCAATAAAACATGCTTTTAAAGAGGGTAACAGTGTAATTAATACTTTATACATGAAGCACTTAGGCAAGATGTAACAGCGGGCGAACAGGGAGAGGAAGGTGCTCATGAGTGGGCAGGTTAGGGCACGGACATCAGGAAGAGTCTGCGACCACGCTGGCCACATCCGGTTAGGTCTCTTCTGCTAAACGCTCCAGAGCAGGCCGAGCCCCAGGGGACACCCCGAGTCTCTCCGACAGCACCTCGATATGTACCGCAAGGAAGGTCGGGGAATCGCTCACCCCCCTGAGCCCGATCCGAGGTTTCCCTGCCTCTCTCCTCCTCTTCTCATCAGACCTGCGGGGGAGGGCGCACAGAGTCAAGAGCACTGCAGAGGCTGGGTGAAAAGAAGATGCCAACATATGGACACGCAGACAGAGCTGCCGCCCATGGGCTTCTGGGCTCAGTTACAGCAGAGCTCCAAGGCCAGGCTTCCCAATCCTAGAGGATTGCAGTTGCACAACCCGACCCTTTAAGTGACTTACCAACAGGAGTATTCAAACTGCTTGGCTGCTTGCAGCTCTTCCACATGCTGGAGGTGGCGTTTTAACTACCGCATTTCATCAGTAAAATAAAATCCAAAACTTGTCAGAAAAAAAATGACTTGCAGATGTTCCATTTGAGCAAACTTAGTTTTAATTAAGGCTTCAATGAGGTGATTAAGGGTGTGGGCCTCCAGGGCCAAAATTGGCAACTCCTGCTCTAATGGATTATATAGGAATTAGGCGCTGCAGTGACAAAAACAACTTTTCCAGGTTTGTACTAATTAGCTACAACATCTGATGGCAGCAGACTAAAGTGTTAGCACCAGCCCCTGGCACTCATTAGTCTGCTTTAGAACATCAAATTAGGGACAGAAGTTTACTTGCCCAGAATATGCAAATAATTGTTTGCATGCCTTTGAGCTCATCAGAGAATGCAAAATGACTTGACTGGGATGTAACAGTGGTTTAACAAACAAAAATGTAATTATATCCCTCAGTGATTGTTTTGCATCAACCAGATGATTGACCCCCAAAATGTGCATACTTACACACTGGCTCCTGATTGGGAATCCATGTTGTGCACCTTGTGGGACAACAACTGGTTAGTTCCTAAAATGTCTTTACTTTCTATTTAAGTCGCCAGCATTTTACATTTCAGGGGAACCCAAATACGGTTATTTAAAAATACCAGAACAACTGGACAGGAGCCAAACTCATGTCAGATATAACCACCTTAATTTATTCACAGTACTGGGAGCTCAGAGGATTCCTCGTATCCCTGGGCACATAACTTAACTGGAACTGTACAGACGCAGTCATCTGGTAAGGCGAGTGGGGGACTGCTCCATCTGCAGCTGGAAATTCAGGAGGTGGCTTGCACAGGGCTGAGGGATCAGAAATAGCAGGAGTCCAAGATAGATCTTGGAGGAGCTCCCACGATCTGGGGCCCAGCAGCTCCCAAATGCCTAATACAGAGAAGAGCTGGGAGGCGGCCTTATCTGCACCAGACAAAGGCCTAATTGCCATTAAGACCTCATCTTGGCATTCTGCCTTAATCACATCAGCAGCGGTTTGTACAAGGAAACCGCTGATCTTCAGTTCATGGGTTTATTTGTAAACGATGGTTACATGGAACAACAGAAATACTTGTACTGGACAGAGGAATTCTGATTTTGTCAGCGAAAAAAGGTAAACTGTAATTCACTTAAGTAATTCTACAGGGTAACTGCAACCTAAACCAAAATTTCTAAACATACTGGAGAGATCCACAATGCAAATGAATCTAATTTCACTCCTTGGGTATGTAAAGGTCAAGTAAAACACAGTCAAGAATGAAAAGCAATTTTAAAATAATTTGGATCGCACTATTTTACTTTTCAGCACGTCACGCAAACAGCCCGAACACATGCTGGAGTCAACTCCAGGATTATCAGTCAGTTTTTGTTTGTGCACAGAGAACCGACAGCTGGATGTGAATTGAGGCACGCTGCTCGTGAACTGCTCTGGGTTCACACAAGTGCAGGCGAGACGGGGGTCACTCTCCTGGCCTCCTGCTCACACTCACCTTGTTTCCAGTAGGGTGTCTTTCTGTCACTAACAGCCACATTCCTGGGTGCTCTGGGCCTGGGCTCTGCGGGGCGACCTCAGCTGTCTCAAAGCGGCATCTCCGTACTGAATCCCTGATCCCATTCTCTCTGGATCCAATTCCCCTGGTACAGCAGCGTGTATAAAGAACAGTTAATGCCCTGAGGCATGTCATTCAATATTCCACATTTAACCCACAAGCCATCCAGACAGCACCCCTTTAAGGACCAGGGCTGGGTGCTCTGATCCCTAAATATGCTTGTGCTCAGATGCCGTTTGTGGACTTCAACTCTGCATTTAATACGCTGCAGCCCCATCTATTGATAAGTAAGTTGAAGCAAATGTCCGTTAACCATAACATCATAAGATGGTACCATTCATTTTTAACAAACCGCACACAGTATGTCAGGGTCAACAAAACTCTTTCCGAGTCACGATCTATAAGCACAGGTGCCCCTCAGGGCTGTGTGAGCTCTCCAGTTCTGTTCACACTTTATACAAGTGATTGAACAAGCAGTAGTCAAAGCAACTTCATTTTCAAATTCTCAGATGATACAGCTGTTCTTGGCTTAATGCATAGAGGAAGCAGCTCAGCTGTATACATGTCAGAAATGCAAAGGTTTGAGCAATGGTGTGACAACAAAGCCTAATTCTCAATGTTAAAAAACTAAAGAAATAGTTTTCGATCCCAGAGCAGTTGGTGATCACTCACAGGTAGTAATCCACAACGAATTTATCACTCAGGTCAATTGATATAAGTACTTAGGTGTACACATAGACAGTAACGTGTGCTGGTCTACTCATGTGGAGAGTGTTTGTTCCAAAGTTCAGCAGCGCTTATATTTCCTGCGAAGACTAAGAGTGTTTGGGGTTCGACAAGAAGTAATGCTACTCTTTAATCGTGCTGTAATCGAGAGCATTATCAGGTATGGTATTTCAGTGTGGTTTGGCAATCTATCAGTTCATTTTAAATCGCAAATGACCCGCCTCATCCAGACAGCTGTGAAGGTCATGGGAGTGAAACAGCACCCCTCCCTGCAGACAATCTTTGAAAAATCCATAATCAAACAGGCTGGGAAAATTATATCAGATCCTTCCCACATCCTCAACTCTGAATATCAACTTCTTCCTTCTGGCAAATGTTTTAGGGTTCCCAAATGTAAATCAATCAAATACAAACATTCCTGTGTTCCACTATCCATTAGAGCTATCAACGCAAATGTCAAGGATAAGCACAATTTTGACCCTTACAACCCACTTGAGTGCAATATGTTTTGTGATGTGTTATAAATGTTACATGTTGTTATGTGTTATACTGTACATGTGCAATAGAATGATGTGCAATGTTTTTCTTATCTCTTTTTTTTTGCATTCTATTTAAATGTACAGGAGTGCTGGGTGTCCATAAAAAATTTCCCTCAGGGGACAATAAAATCTTATCTTAACTGTACCCTGTAATATCAGATTGCTTTTCTCTGCACAGTGCTGGAGGCTGTTTTTATTTCTAAATACCAAGTGCAAATACTCACCTTCAGTACCCACTAAAATAAATATACAAGTACAAGGAAAGGGGTACTTTTTAAAATCTCAATGTGATCCATAAAGAACTGGCACTGGTTCAGATCAAACCCTCCGTTGTCTCGATCATCTCATCAATCGAAAGCATAAAGCACATCAAACCCTAATCTGTCCTGCCCACTTGTCAGATCTAGCCAGTGCTTGGTCATTCCTTTAGAAACCTAGATTCCAGACAACTGCACTCATCACACACACCACAGAAAACCCAAAGCAACAGAACTAATACGATATTGATGAGATGCGGGCTCAACCAGCGCAGGGGAAAGGCGGAATTGGTTTAGGGAACACTGCATAAATAAGTGTTACATAAGCAAATCTGTGATTGTGCAGCTTCACTGAGGCAGACAAAGAAAACAGATACCCGATTCAATCTTGTTCAGGATTTTCCTGGCACACTGCACAAAGGCCTCCTCCACATTCTCCCCTGTGAGTGCGCTCGTCTCCAGGAACATCAGCTCTGGAAGACAGGATGTGGGAATGCGTAAGACTGTTAACTTTCAGTGAATATCAGACGTTAAGGCTTAAGAGGCAGGTGATTTGTACAATAAACATACTACTGTTGCTGTTTAGGCCCAGTCTAAAGGAGGGCAGGGAAAGAGAGGAGCAAGGAAAAAGAAAACCACAACCAATATGAAAGTACCATGACCTCTAGTGGCACTCCATGGGAACTACACTCTTGACACACCACAAAAACTCATTCCAGGAACGTTTTTTACTTGATCATGAAAGAACACCAAGCTGATTAAAAAATAGAAGTTACTAAAGGGACAGACCATACTTTCATTAATTGACAGAATATATCTCCTGTGGGGACAGGTTTGCTACCCAACGCCCCAGGCTCTGAGACACAAGAGGCCTGTAGCCCACCAGCACTGGTGAAATAGAAGGGAAACTCTCTTGGCTGCATTTAGTTTTTAAGACCGTCAGATCTTTATGAAATGCAATATAAAAACTCCAGGGTAAATGAAGCACTGCAGGGCTTATTTATTTATAGTTGTTTTATATTGCACTTCATGGAGCCTCTATGTTTAATGCGAATATTTACAGAAATATCAAAGCCCCAAACCATCAATATATCACCAAAATATCAACCTACTGTTTAACAATACATCAGCCTGCACCTTGTAAAACCTGAAGTGGATGAAACCGCTTGGCAACAGGATTTTATAAACCTGGTTTAGAACAAGGCATGAAAAAGAGACTACACTTCCTTCGATGCTAAATAAATAAATACCACACCAACTAATGCCCCAC